TGTATACGTGAAAATGGTGAACATTTTGAACAATTTTTATGAAATATCTGTTAATCGTTTTATTATTGATTATGCTCTTAATCACTGAAATTAAAATTTTGTCGAAACCATTCGACCATTTGTCAAGAGTACCTTTTTTGTAGTGAATGAGTTGAACAATCTAGATTTCATATTGAAACTAACTTTTTCCATTGGCGTAGGAGTTTTAGATGTTTATTTACTGAAAAAAGCAAGTTCTACGCCCATGGAATGATATTCATTATGATTAGGATTTCAACTTTTTGCGTCGTATAAATCTTTGTTCACGCGAAAATAGTGAACATTTTGGAAAACTTTCATGCAATATCTATCAATCGTTTTATTATTTAAATATGCGCGAAATCACTAAAACTTAAATATTGTCGAAACCATCAGAGTAATCGAATTTTATCAAGACTACCTTTTTTGTAGTGAATGATTTGGGCTATCTAGATGTCATACTGAAACTGATTTTTTTTCATTGGCGTAGGAGTTTTACATGTTTATTTCCTGAAAAAATCAAGTTCTACGCCCATGGAATGATATTCATCATGATTATGATATGAGTTTCATTGCCCGATGAGTCCATGCCAACGTACCAAATTTGAAAAAAATCTCATGAGCCGTTCCAAAGTTATGAAGCAAAATCGATTTGAAAATTTCAACTTCAGAGCCGTCTAGCGCCCAAACTAAGCAACTTTTTACTGAGGTAAGTTTGCTTGTATCGAATTGTTTTGGTCTGAAGAATATGTGGTAGCTTCTTGTAAAGACCTTTTAAGGACACCCTGTATGTTGTTGGGAATACTTCCACAGGCAATGAATTCCAGAGCCTAGCCGTTCTATGATAAAATATTTGTATTTAAATGCCTTCAAAAAATCGATATAAGTGACTTTTCTGCTTCAGAAAGAAATATATTCCTAGCAACTTGCAGATAATAAAAGTTAATGTAGTTAATAATTATTAGCATACGTTCTTTGGGAGTCGTAAGTCTCAGTATATTTAGATAATGAAATGAAAATGACAAATATCTAACCTCACATCAGGTGGGTACAAATTCATTACTGCATCGGATATACCCTTCAGATTCTTTGCTATTCAGAATGATAGAAATAAGTAGATGCTGGTGCGGGTATTCGGCCATTTTTACGTATTAAAAACTTGAGAAAAATCACTCGACCGCCTACTATGATTTTTCTACGTCACATCGAGCGAGACGTTGATTCTACATTTTTCCGCTAGATGGTGATGCTGCTATTGCTCTTGTGACGAATGGAAAAAAAAATGCGAATGGAATTTTAGGTACGCGGAACATATGTAACAGTGGGTTTATTCAACTCTAAAGTAAAAAAAAAATCTGCAGCAATTTAAAAATTGACAGATGTCATGATTGTGCAATGCCGCCATATATCCGAAAACCGCTAAAAACATTGTTCTCGGGACTCTCGGGAGGTCGAGAAGAATTTCTGAAACAAAAGCGCATCAGTGAGTATACCATCTACTTATTTCCATCATTCTATTCAGTGACTTGACCACGAATGACATTGACGTTTTAGTCTTCTGAGAAACTAAAATATACGAATTCAATATTGGTCCATCTAGAGACAGGGCACAACAAATAATCCATTCGCCATAGAAAATAACACGTCGCTCCACCTGACGGCATCAGCCTGAGCACTTCTGAGCGGTTTGTTTTGATGATGTGAGCAATAAGCACAAACAAAAAGCAAATGTGAACCAATGAAATCAAAGTGAACAGGCCGCTTTGACAGCTTTCAAGAACTCCGATAGGTGGCGTACGCTTGTTTTCTATCGCGAATATGCACAAAAAGGCAGCGAGAGACGAAGGAAAAAGATTTATTTTCAGGGAGGTAAATAATTGCTCCTGTAATCACTCACATAATTTTCATTTTGAAATTTTGTCATTTCTCTTCAGAATTCTTTCTGCAATAGGAGCTAATAGGTGACTATCCAAACCTGTGATTTTTCGTGTTTGTACATTTACATTTACCTAGATTTAAGTTTTTGACTATTCCTATACAATGTTGTGTTGTCTACTGGAAAATAAAGATCTTATCTTATCTTATCTTATCTTAGGTAAGAAGCTTGGATTCGTGCACTCAAATGGGAGGACTGGTCTCAAATGATGATGAACTATGCTTCTGTGTGTAACATTTTCACTCTATTATCTTCTATTGCAGAAGTAGCAAAAGACATTTTAAAGAAAAAAAAATGACAAAATGTTAATGAAAACTATATGTGAGTGACTAGAGGACTACAGTACCTACTTTTTGATCACAATTTACTTGAAAAATCTGATTCCTTCGTCTCTGGCTGCATGCTGCATTTAATGTGCATTGTACAACAACACAATGTGATGGCATGCTTGAATAAATGAATAGCCAAAAAAACACGATTCCTATGCTATAATAATTGTGGAAAACTATTTCAATCCACCATAAACAAATAAGAAAAGTTGCACGTTGCACGATATCAACGCAAGTGAAGCCGAAGCCGTGGGTAAAGGCTTGTTCGGCCATATTTTGCTAGTGCCGTTAACTATCCAGCCAAGAATTGACGTCAAATTTGGCTTCAAAATTTTACACGGAGGTGGATCATCTTGTTAGTGCATTGTCGATCTAAATGAAAACCTAGTAGGCGACCTAGTACGCGAGGAGGTACAATATTGTCTGTTCTTTGAATCAAGATCTGTCTGCCTGTCAAGTGGCGCTGGCATCCTGAAAATGGAAAAAGCTCATTTGTTTCTGTCAAAATGGACCATATTAGGTTGATATTCTCTTCTTCTATTTTTTTCCAATATGTACTCAACCACAGATGTGCTTTCCATCATTGACGTGATATTTGATACAAAGGCGATGAAGAAGATTCTTTCATGAGATTGAGATGTCATAATCAAAAAATTATTTTCTGACAGTTGTCATTAACTTTTAACTTCGTCTTTGTGAATATGTTATACTTCGAATTCGTATTCTTGAAAATTACAATTATTCCTAATTATTTCTTCTAGTATTGGTTTTGTATTGCAGTTTGTTGATTGGTTTGTGAGTGCGATTGTGTTATTTTGCAATGTTATCTGAAAACTTCGCACTCTAGGAGGTGTAGGTGTAAAATTATCAAGACCTGGTTTCCCCTATCCTCACTGTTGTGAATTTGAGCCACAAATCCTGAGGGATCAATGAGTTTATGCCATATTCATTGGATTGCATGGTGAAATTTGTTTCTTGAATCGCATAATATTTGAAACTGCATGCATTGATATTTCAGGAATGGGAGTTTTTGAAGTGAGCGAACATGATACTGTATGTTTCCAACATTTTAAGGGAACTGTTTCTTGCCAATGAAGAATAGGAAACGGTTTTGGAAGGAGGGTTCGGTTCCAAGTTTGTTAAAGGAAGGTATATATAAATAAAATTATTAGTTTCTAGTTGACTGGAACTATTAGTTGCAGTACAAAAATTACCAAGAACTTGACTTTGGGACCTCTAAAAATTGTTCGATAGTCAATTGTCATTAAAACTCATTTCAGAATGGCACAGATCATTGAAACTGGGGAAAAAATAGATATCAAATATTTTTATAGTTTCAGACTCATCAATGTAGTTTGGAATATGATGCTGAAGAGGAACTCCTTCCTTAAGGAACACGACCTGAAGATTAAGAAGGCATCTGAGGAGGAAACGGGCATTTGAACAGATATTATAGAATGATAATAAATAATAAAGAAGTTTATTCAAAATGAATACGTAATATAAATTAAAAAGTTATACATATATTGGTATTGAATATTCCTATGGAAATTAAAAAGTTATACATATTGGTATTGAATATTCATATGGTTCAATTTGTGGCAATTATAGACCATCTTCCCATATTTAGTGAAGTTCGTGGATAAGATGATTTTATAAAAAATAATCATTGTTCAGCAAAGCATATATTTAACCTATATACCTTTCGTACAATATAAATAGTGTTTTCAAACTTACCTGCCAATACATCTGTACAACAATAAACAGGGTATCAGAGGAGAACAAATTAGTAGAATAAAAATTGCAATAATTCTTCATAATTATATTCAATTTATTGAAAAATATATTTGTATTGTCATTCGTACATATACAAGTTATTTTCCAATAAAAAAAATTCGAAATATCCCAGCATCTTGATATTTTGTGTTTGGAGACATTGATGAAATAAACAGATTGAGTCTAACCTTATTGCTTCTATATATTCATTTCAGATGGAAAATTTTCCATTCTGTTCTCAAACATCATCATCCTTCTGGTACATTCCTTCTGAACATTACTCACATAATGATTCCTGATGTGATTCTTCCACATCAATTTGTTTGTATCACTCATAGTTTTTCTCTTCAGTGTAGGTAGGTACCTGAAATTTTCAAGTATAGTGATTCCGATATGTACATAGTTTACATCACTAAAGACATGTTTCCACTGCAAATAACGGAATTCCATGAATTATATAGTAACTTATCAAAAACATAGAAGGAAATAAGTAGCCCCTACCTTTCTGCTTGGCTTGCATGTCGAAAAAGTGTAAAAGCACTGATGAGTTTCCGAAGTTTCCACAGTTCCAACTCAAATTCAAGTTGCATCATAAGTCAACCTGATATAGCATTCCCTAAACATCTCCCTGCTTCCATTCAAGTATAGGTAGATGGTTTTCATACTTGATAATATTTTTCGTGATAATGTTTCATTTTCGGGTTTCAACATGACAGATTTTTATTTACAAACTTGACAGGACCATGAAAAATGTTATGGGTTAGGAATAAAATATGAATAACTTAGTTTACTTGGTTCACATTGATGTCTCTGTACTACTGAACGCCTTCATTTATTTTTTCAAAGAACAGACAATATTATGCTCTCGCCTACTAACTACCTAACTAGGTTTCCATTTAGATCGACAATGGTTAGTGTAAATAATCAAGAGTTCTACTCACTTTTATATAGTTGGCGTGGATGTAAGGCTGCGATCCAGCTAGATGGACTCGACTGTGTTCATTGGGCAACACTCCTCTGTACCTATTCCGGCTCTGACTGCCGGACACGTAACATTTCTCTTGGAGATTGAGTGGCACCTCCCAGAATTCCTGATGGAGTTTAGGGACTCTCGAAACCTACAGATCCCATTCACTGTTACTACAAAAAATATTAAACAGCGAAAGGCTAGAATCACCCCATCCTCTAATGACTTTTGAAACGTTCATCAAAAAAATCTAATCGGCAATGGGCCTTTCCAGTATCGTAAAATTTGACCCTTTTTCGCTTCGGAAAGTTTGAAATGTTATCCTGACCACATATTTGTCGAGAAAATCGGACAACTTATGAAATATACAAGGTGTTCCTTAATGCCATGCTAATATTCGAGGGTACGATTCATGGACCCATTTCGAGAATAAAACTTCATATGAACGTTTGTCGCAAACGTCCTAACTTTTGAGTTACAGGGTATCAAAGTTGAACATATACATAGATTCTTTGTCCACCCTGTATAGCTTTTCCTGTTGGCAAAATTTATTCTGCTATGTGACTGAAACAGTGCAAAAATTTCAAAATGTTAGATACTGTGGTTATACAGTAATAGCTGTCCTGGATGGAGTTCTCAAGTTTAGCATTTACATCAAAATTTGAAGTTTGATCTCGTTTTTTCGTTTTTTCTCGAAAACGAAGCGTCCTGTCGGGTATCAACAAGATGATCTTTTTTGTACAAAATTGAATGACTTTTTATAGCATCTTATTTTTTTTCACTTGTTTCTTTAACGTCGGCCTTTTACTGCTACTGAGGCTAATCACCGACGCCGGTGAGCACACTACCCCAACCGGAAATTTTGCCGAACCCTCTGGTGTTCCAACCAGAGGTAGGGATCTTTAACGAGTCCAACATCCATGGCCTTGGGACCGCCGGCTTAACGTCCCCTCCGAAGGACGGCATATCCGTACCATATCTTGTGCTCATTGATATGGTAGATGTAGCTATGATATGCTATTCCGCTACAGATGTACGGGCTTACGCGGCGTTTCCTCGAATGGTCGCCCATCCAAGTACTAACCGCGCTCGACACTGCTTAACTTCAGATATCGAACGGCTAGAGCCTTACCTGAGAAGCTAGGGCGACGCCCCATAGCATCTTATCAATTTTGGTAATATTTCTTCGTTGCTTACTTTCAAGTATAATATAATCAATCATATCCCCCTAACGGCGCCACTGGTGAAGAAAAGGAACATTTGTATACATCAAAAAATGCACCTTGATGCAGGAAGATATTCCCTTCAGGAATATTTTTTGTATTGTCTTGATTTTTGATAAGTTTCGAGGTTCATTTGCAAATAAATGATTTCTGATCTCAGGCATCTTATGCATTTTTTAGAAAATTAATCTGGTTGGGACATGGCTTGACTGTAGACTCCTGGGATAAAAATAAGTTGATTTTAGCCAACTTATATCCAAAATCGTTTCGTTGAGTTGGTACAAGGCGTTAAAGTTCTCACCTTAGGTACTGAATAATTGTCATTAAATTTGTAACGTGAGAGTTCTTGTATAGCCCGCGAGGACCAGCAACATATCAGTTTGTTCACAATAAGAATACATTGTAGCCATCAATGAACAGTCCGACTAATTAAATCAATTTCCAAAAATGCGCAGGATGCATCAGATCAGAAATTATTTATTTGCAAATGAACCTCGAGACTTATCAAAAATTAACACGATACAAAAAATATTTCGTTAGGGCATACCTTTCTGGAAAAAAAAAACTGGAAGTTTCCAGTCTGACCTCTGAAAAGTTATCACCAAATTTGTACGGCAACATGGTTGTTTGAAACACTTGCAGGTCATTGATGATGATCAAAATCATCTCAAAACATTACTTACAGTCACAGAACATGCCATGCTAGAAATTATGAAAATCGATCTCAGCCTACTCTTTTTAAGAGCGAAATTATTCTTTTCCAAAAAAACGTCAACGCCTTGTACCAACTCAACGAGACGATTTTGGATATAGGTAAGTTGGTCTAAATCAACTTGTTTTTATCCCAGGAGTCCACAGCCGAGCCATGTCCCAACCTTTCACAGACACCCTGTATAGTAGTATAAAAAATTAAAAAGATAGAAAATTAAATGATGAAAGTGATTTGATGAATATTCAACTGAAAAAAATATTTTCTAGAAATGCATTATAGCATAACAAGGTTTTCCGGGTCACCATGTCTCATTATAAAAATAATTAGTTATTATTGCATTCAAGAACTCACCTCACAGGACTGCTTCAAATCGGCAATAGACAAAACATTCCCAGCTGTCTGCAAATACTGGATATTCTGCAAATGCAGCTTGAAGTCATCAGAGAGCAGTTGAGAAGACTCCAAGTCAGGTTGTCTAGGATAACACGCTTTCCTGTACCCTTTGCACTGCTTTGAATTGCTGTAGCAGTCCTTCGGTGCTCCAGTCTGGCAGAACCCACAAGGGGGCACATACAAATTCTCATTGGACAACGACTTCCTGCGAGATTTCACACAGCAACTGCACCTGAGTAGAGTTCCTTAATGTACTTGAAACTGCTATTTCAAAGTTTTTGTATATTTAGAAAACGGACACTATGACAAGCACTGACAGTCAAGACATGAGCACAAATGCATTGATTGAAAAAGCGTGACATGACATACATTTCGAAGGTTTGTCAAATTTAATTATTAGTGTCACTTCTTCAAAGTTCCAGTCTGAACTTGTGCGACTTGTGCGTAGTTGAGAAGTGCGGGACCTCTGCAGCTTATACAGGGTGTCCCGTTAAGACCGAGTCAAACCTAGGGAAAATGTAGATCAGGACAACTCACCTGCATATGACAAAATTCCCATTATAAACGTCTTTCGTTTCCGAGATTTTTTTTTGAAAAAATCCACTACCAGTTTTCAATAAAAATATTTCTCACAGTCCCTCTTTGAAATGTTCGGAGAATGTTTTTGATGTATACGTTAAAATCATTCTTCAGCATTATTTACTGAAAAAATAAAAAATCAAACAAAAAGGTGAAAAATTTTACCAACCGTACAGACAAAACTATTGAAAGGGGCAAAAATTCAATATTTTCAACAACAAAGATATCTCGAAAACGGTAAGACTTTTATAATGGGATTTTTGTCATAGCAGGTGGGTTATCCTTTGATCTACATACCCCTTATATTCGACGTGGTCATTACGGGACACCCTGTATATAGTGGGTTTTAAAGAACTTCTGGGTTTCCAAAATTTGCTGACAGGACAAAAACGCTCAACCCGTGCGCATCATTAATATGATCTTCCGATGGCCGGATTCAAACCAGCAACCAACGGCGATCACTATAGTGAGTCGAGCGCTGTACCAGTTTAGATACAGTGCATCCTATTTTCAGTGAAAAAGTCAGATATCTCGGTTATTGTTGAAGATAGAACCTTACGGTTCTCGCAGTCTTGTGCCACTTTTTTGAGAAACTCAAGATGGCCTGATCAGATTTTGCATTACTGTTTCCGTTCATGAGATACAGGGAGATTTTGAAAATTCATACTTTTTGGACCCCCTCTATATCTACGAAGTTTCTCAGGGAAAATGTGAAATTGAAATCTTATCCCATAGAGAATTTAACGCAGAAGCCAGTGGCGCACTCTTTTTTTTTCGGGGTATGGTTTTGGGGATACGACTCAAACGCTCCAAAATCACTAGAACATTGAATTTTAATAGTGGGCTATTGATTTTTCATATAAAAAAGGTCCAATTGAAGGAATGTTTCTTTTGATTTTCCCATGATGAGGACAAGAACAATACCAACACTGATCAACTAACAAAACACAAAACTTAGGTACCTGATAGCAACAAATTGATAGTAATGAAAAGTTCATAATGTAGAAGCAAGTGATTGAATATTCACTAAATCATTTGAATTTCGAAATTATTCAGTACCTAATTCATTCAATGGATTGTTCAAATTGATGTCCATTTTCCCTCCTACCGGAGCTATTGAACATTACAAAATTTGCATTCAATTGTAATTCACTATTTTCCCGATGCTGAAAATATAAAACATGAAGTCAATTCTGTTAATTTGTATTGAGATGATTTTTTGCATATGAAGGTTCCAAAGCACGAGGAACAATAACATGAAGTTAGTTTTCTTGCAAAAATAATCCTGATTTGATTTTATAAAAATCGACCCCATTTTATTTCAATTTGTTTGTCTCTGAAACACTGATCATGATGGCTTTTCATAGCGATCCCAATTTTGTAAAGATCGCACGTCGAATAGCTGTGGTATAGAGGAGGGAAGGCGCTAATGTTGAATATTTTTCCATGAAACTTGGTACAGATTCATTTCAGAGGACGCCGATTCCAGTGGTGTACGTGAATTTTTTAATTCTAGTGGGCCTTGGTTCTTCAGAAAAATGGACGCTGCTTAGCTCCAAAATACACCTTTCCTCCATATATACACTCACCGGCAAAAAAAACCGGCCACCAAAAAATTTTGTCAAGTTGTTCGCCCTGTAACTTCTTTAGTTCTTGTCGGATTTTGGTGAAATTTTGATCAAATCGTCGATTCATGTTCCGGAATGTTAACCTGAATATGAATTCCCAAAAAAGCTGATAGCTTGGTCAATATACAGGGAAAAACAAGAGTTACTCATTTACCCATAACTTCTTAACGCCCTGTGGCTGAAGTGAGTGGTTGAACTCCTCATCATTATGTCTTGGATTGAAGAGTATTCTTTTCTCATCACAATAGTTTTTGATTCACGTCAATACCTCATTTTTTAGAAAAGATACGAAGGTTTTAAGAAAGTATGGAGTTATTCAAGTTTCATTTACAATAATCAGAACGCAGATACACCTACACAAAAAACCTAAATTACAAAAAACAAACGAAAAGTAGGAATTGCCTCATATTCTTCTTGAAGGGCGAATCGTAGCTCTTGAAGAGTCTCTGGCAATGCCGGACGTAGACGAATGCGCCTCTGTAGTTCATCCCATAGATGCTCTATAGGATTGAGATCCGGGCTGCATGCTCGCCAGTCAAGCCTTAGAATTCCGACCTCATTCAAATACTCGGTTACAATTCGAGCAATGTGTGGTCTGGCGTTGTCATGCATCAAGACAAAGCCGTCTCCAATAAAATGGGAATATGGGATGACAGCTTCTTGTAAAATATCCTCCACATATCTGTGGGCGTTCAAAGCACCATTTTCCACAAATACGAGGTCGGTATGTCCTTCTGTAGAAATGCCTGCCCGCGCCATAACTGAACCTCACTCTGTATATTTTTGTTACCACAAGAAATCACAGATTCCATTTGAAAAAATTAATTTTTCGTCGACCTCTACAAAAAATCACATTTTATGTTCTAATTTCCGAACGAAAAAGCGACTATTTCCGAAAGGCAAGTACTTTTCGTCCGCAGACACTAACTTTTCGTCCGCAAACACTTTTTGTCGGCTGCAGGGTTGCCAGTTCTACTGAACTATCAGTAGATCTCGTGATTTGCATATTGATTTACTGATCATCCGAAACATTTCCTTATCTACTGAAAAACATCTTGACAATCATGTATTGTTATAATTACCTACATTATTATTAATTTTTAGGTAACCTCTGTTCAAATAAATTTTACAGAATAAATAATAAATGAACATGTAAACTATTGTGGATTTTTAACGCTTTCACGGATCGCCCTTTAAAACTTCTGATACATGCCGTGGAAAGGTCGCATTGCAGTATTCAACTTCCGCATTTTTTTCTCCATTGACGTTCTTCAGCTTTATCATTCCATATTTCAAAAAGAACTAATTTTATAATTCAGACATAGGAAGATATTACATGGATGTACTCTTACCTGGGCATGTAGAGGAAGGAAAATGCAAGAAGCCTTTATCTAAGGGAAAAACATATTCTTGTTCTTGTCTGACAAAACATCAAAATTGTTTTTCGTTATGTCTCAGTCACTGCATGTCGAGTGTCCATACTCTGAACACTCAAACATCAGTGTAAAGTACATTAGGAAACTCTACACCTGAGTAGAGAGTAGAGTTAATTTCAATTAATTTACATGTGTGTCCCACTGGTCAATATTACAAGGGATTTAAGATTTATATTAAATCACTAGATGGAGATGCATGCATACTTATGTATAAGACTTCATCAATTAGAAGCAAAGACAATAAAAGCACATGATGTTTTAAAATTGAAAATTAATGATCAAAACAGTTTGAAAGCATTGAAATTAAAAGGGATGTCGATTGGCAAGCAGCTGATCGCCATTCATAATTTCAGAATAATTTCATAATAATTTATAATACATGTTGTCGATGGGCAAGCAGCTGATCGCCATTCATAATTTCGGAATAATTTCATAATAATTTATAATACATGTTAAGTATATTTGAAATATACAGCATAACTAGATATTCCAAGACCCTCAATTTTATTTGAGGTAATTGTTTAAAGCTTTCTGGTAAATGTTTATGTTTCACATCTAGACTATTTTCTCCTAGTTAAAGCATATTAAATGCTATTGGATTTAAAAAAAGTCACATGACCTCCTGTTGTCCTGTAATTGTGAACATGTTTTGAATTTGTTCTTGTTTCAATGGATTTCAAGCAATGTTTCATAAATGTAAAGTGAAGGAAGTGTCATGATTTTGAGCTTTGTGAATTTTCCTTTGTAATGTTCTTTGGAACCCAAACTGGCCCTAATCCTTAATGCTTTTTTTGGTTTTTTGACTATTCTATCTGCATCATGTGAGTTTTCCAAGATGGTTATTCCATATAACTCAAATGGCTATGAAATAATGCATGGTTGCAGGATTTCAAAATATTAATCAAAACCATTGAAAATACATTCCCTAAAGTTGGGTGCTTAGAGTTGGGTTAGAACTAAAGGTTATACTTTGGTTCTTATTCTTGTTGAGTTTCAAATTTTTCATTTGAAACCAAGTTTTGACATTTGACATACTTTCTGAAATGTTGGTCATTAACTCATTCAAACTGTTTGCTGTGTTTATTATTGATGTGTCATCTGCAAAGCAGACACATTTGAAAGGAAAGGTGTAGTGTAGGGTCTAATATAGAGCCCTGTGGAACCCCATGCTCTATTTCCTTGAAATCAGTGAGGGTATCATTGAAGAGAACACCCTGCTCTCTTTTTGATAAGTAACACTGAAACAAATTCAATGCCTTGCCCCTGATACTGTATCATTTCTGAAGTTTATCTAACAAAAGTTTATGAGACACAACCAGAAGCTTAAGATAGGTAGCATAGTGTCAATATAATACATTCCTCCTCTACACCTCCTAGTATGTCCCCAACAATTTCAGGGATAGCATGTGTGGTGCTACATTTTTTCCTGAAGCCATACTAGTTACCGAGGGGTAAATCTCCAGGAAAAATGTGTACACCAGACTTCCAATTACCAAAGACTTCCAAAGACTTTCAAAGACTTCCAAATACTTCCAAAGACTCCGAAAGACTCCTAAAGACTTCCAAAGACATCCACAAAGACTTCCAAAGACATCGAAAAACATCCAAAGATTTCCAAAGAATTCCAAAGACTTCCAACGGAGTGTACATCAGACTTCCAAGGAGATTTACCCCTCGAGTTACAGTATAGTATTCTATTTTTTCAAAGTAATTTATTGGCCCCTTGTTCAAAATATATTCTAAGATTTTTTCGAGGATTTTTCCTATAATTGGTATGATTGAAAGATTGAAATAGGTCAGTAGTTCTCAGAATTGTGGTAATTATCATTTTAATATAATACCTGTTCAAAACCTGGCATTTCGTCTTGCAGCTGCTCATTTTTATAGGGACAGACTCATATATGGTACAGTTCCCACAGGTTTCTTGGGACTTTCTGCGCTCCGTAGCCTTGGCTTGAGCCTCGCACTTTTTGATGCAGTAACAGGACTTTTCTGGGACATCAAAAGCAGAGAGAGTCAAATTTGAAACACTCTTTGCTGTGTTGAGCCTGGTGAATGTTGTTTTAGGTTCCACAATACTGGAATTTGAGCCTAAATCAATTGTCAAGCTGGCATTAGACCCCCTACGTTCCAGCAAACCCTTTGCTTTCAATTTCAAGGGAGCTACAATGGGACCATCAGAAAAGTCTTGCAAAGTCATGATTTCAGGTAGAGTTTTCAGAGTTTGTGATCCTGAAATGCTTGTGTTGGAGGCAAATTTCTTCAGGTTTGTATTGAAACTAGGAGCTAGTGTGAATTTGTTATGGTCATCATCAAAATCACATGAGAGCCTGGGTTTGATCTGCCTCTTTGGGGTGTTTGGCATGGAAAAAACATCTCTGGAGATATCTAAATTCGAGCTTTCAGCAGGAGTATCAGAGTCTAGGCTCACTGCTTTCAACTTTTTTGAAAGTGTTGGTGTTTTTGGGGACTGAACTACCAACACTGGTTGGGTCACTGTGTTGAGAATTGATTGATCAGTCAAATCAAGTATTGGGAAATGACGTTCTTTTTTCAGAGACACAGTTGCTTCTTCCATTGCAACTTTTCTGTATTTATGATTTATAATAACCTGAAAAAAAAAACAATAATTCAGATAATCCAGAATAACTATCAATTAATATTTACAATAAACTTACATTTATGAGATTCCTTTGCTTGTCCTATTCAAACCTTCCATCATAGGTAGCTACCTAATTTGTCATGCTATAATAATAGTAAATATTAATTTCATCAGTCAAAATTCATGGTAAAAACAGGTATTCTATCTAAAATACACAGGATACATTTTCACACAGCAATATTCACAATATTAGTGTTTTCATTTATATTGATTTGGGTATGCTGAAGAATAAATTACTTTAAAAATAAATAAATATTGGCAAGAACTATCGGCAAACAGCCCTCTAAATTTTTTGTTAACAATTTTGTGTAAAATAAATAACAATGTTCACATCAACATCACAAATCTGACAAATCACAATTCACACTTCACACTTTTTAAACAGCTGACGCTAACAAAAGTCAAGGACAAAAGTGACATAAGGTTTGTTCGTTTGTCTTGTTGAAGTTGCTAAAGTTGTTTTTGTTGCCGTAGTTGTCTCTGTTCACAGCATGATGTAAGCAGAGAAAGTCATAGAAAAAAATCGAGCGTACTAGATGGAGCACACACATACGAATAGTCCTATAGTGACAAAACGTGACATATTTACTCACAGAAAATGACACAAAATAGAAAATACAATATTTTTTGACAATCATATTTGATGTTTCCGTCTCGCTTAGCTCCACAGAACTACCAGTGTTCTACTATCAATCAACGCTCGAACTAATAACAAACAATAGTAAAAGTGGAATTCAGATTTTACTTCTCTTTTACTTTCATGCTCTCAAATAATGATCAAAATTCACTCTAAATCGTGCAAACGCGCAATAACTCAAGATTGACGTCTTGGAGTAGGAATGTAGTGAGTAGTTGGCTTCATTCTGACAGGTTATTTTTTTATCGCTTGGAGCGCACGAGAGAAAATCCCTATAATATTCGAAGAACATTATGCGTACCTAGGGAAGATAGGGAGAGGAGATAGGTATGTATTGGATTTTTTTTTATTTCTGGAGATCATAGCATAAGCTCTTAGAAATACTTTCCCAGGCAATGAATCCCATAGCTTCGCTGTCCTATAGACAAACGAGTTTTTTGATATTTGATAAAGTGCTGTTCGACATATTTCGAGGTTGACAATAACGAAAGGATGTGCTGACTGGGTTTCTCGAGTTTGACTGACTGGTATTGCTAGTGATGGAATAATAGCATCAGAGATTTCCGGAGAACATATATTTTCCGTGTAAATATTTATAAACAAATGAAAAGTGGTAGTTTTATTATTTATCATTATTCAACAGAAAATAACAACTTTCCTGCCTATTCGCTACGTCGAACATTAAATTATAACTGTTGAACATCCAAAAAGAGGACATGATTGTTTTTTTTTTCAATTCCTGCCATCCTACACATGTTTTTATTAGAGTGTTTTTATTAGTTACAATGATGGAAGTATATCTTACTTCCATCAATGGCATCAATTTAGTTACGTATGGCTGGCGGTCAGCTGGCGGCTGCCAGCAAGTCTGAACAGAATGAAGCCGACAACCATGAGTCTTTCCTGGTCCGAGACGCTCGTAGCTCGTAGATTTCTCTGTTCCATGCCGGAGTCTCTGATCTTACTTGCGTCACTTGCGTCTAGCCCCTGCGTGCAACTGGCGTGCCGAGCTGCCGAGGCAAACATTCGAACGCCGGCCTTATCCAGCGCCGCGACGACTGCCCATCGGAAAACGTGCGTTTATCGATTTGTGATTCGTCATAAAAATTTCAAACAAAATTGCATCGTTATTTACTCGATTTCATTGATGAGGAAAAGAGGAACTTATTCTAAAAACAGTCTTCACGAATTTATGAATGACCCATAGGCTTTTAGACTTAGATTACTTTTGTTGAGTCGATTTAAATAAAGTGACTCTTCACGAAAAGGAAAAAATTCAATTTCTTCAAAAATTTTGAATACAAGTGACGGACAATGATTTTCGTTGGGTATATCTGAAAAAAAAATCATTGATAAATTAATAGAACTAGAGGTACATCGAAAAAAATTTATATGTATTCAAATACCTATATGTCAGACTTATAGGTATGATTGTATATACACTGGTTACCTATGTTATACCACTGTACTTGATGCAAATGAATAACAATTGTTATTATTATTAGGTACCTATGATATCAATTGCATTTTATCGTGGTACCTAAATGAAATGAATATACCTAGCTATATATGAGTATGGAAGTGAAAAATAAATAGAAAAATTAATTTTTAACGGTTTCGAATGATTGTATAATACAATTTAAATTTTATTTTGTAAATCACTATTTCTGTTCTGAAAATTTGCAATTATCTGTTGAATCCACCCATACGACACAGGTCGTAGTCCGGCTAATAATTAATTGATACACGGCACTGCGTCAAACGCAGGGAAATTCGCGGCAAATTTTTGTGCATTATTATTAGTTAAATCTTGTGAAAGATGTGAATTTTAGAACTAGTTGGGCATAGTTCATGTGCGGGTGCGGATGCGTTTTATTATCTGCGTTTAGGCAAAGTTGTTTAGGCCTAAACGATATATCCGGATATATCGCTGTTGTAATTCATGCACCAACCCCATGAATTCAATAGATTCTTTTCGAGAGTATTTTGTTTTTTTTTCTTCATAGTGTATCGATATGTATCGATGATGGTGTACAATACATGATTCTGCACTATTGTATATGCATCTATGTCTGTATTTTTTATGAACATTAAACTTTTTTCATGAATAACTGTTATATTGATTTTATTCGTTTTACAAATTAGTTACTTTAATTGTTTAGTTATTATAATTAATTTGGCACCCCCGTATATATATATTCTACCCGCATAATGTAAAACCATTGTTTGCTAAATGAAAAATAATCAAACCAGCCGTCTTGATTATTTTTCATTTAGCCGACAATGATGTTCAAATTCAAAACATACCTATAAACCAAAATCGTCAAATCGGTAAACGCAAGTATTTCGATGTGCAGTCGGCGCTGGATAAGGCCGGTGTTCGAATGTTTGCCTCGGCACGCCAGTTGCACGCAGGGGCTAGACGCAAGTTCTGAACTTGGCTGTCAATTAAAATTGTCAATAACGTGGAAACGGGAAATTCTGAACTTCTCAAAAGTTCAAACTTCTTTATGAAAGAGTGGAATTTGATAAAAAAATGTAATATAAATTTGTGATAAGAGTGATTAATACCAAATATGATCGTTTACTAATTTAGAGGCTTTCCAGAATGGATTCATTTGCTGCAGATTTGGCTATCCAAGCTTTTTTGGGTAAGTTTTTGTTGGAATTCTATTCTACTATGTTTTAAATGTTAAAATTTTGAGCTTTTCATTTGGTGAATTTCAATCACGATGCATTTTGTTTGGAAAATTGAATAATCACATATTTCAGTATACTTTAGACTGGGCATTTACTAATGAATTAATTATATTCTTCAATAAGAAGTTTCATTGTAGTTCAATTCAAGAACAAATTGGATAAATGTTATGTTATGTCTCTTGCTTAGAGGGGAGGAGTATTCTTTCATTGTTTGTTTTTCTGTGTATAGAATAACTCCCAGGAAATCGCATTGTTGCTTGCAAATTGTATTTTTTCATCAGCTTACAGGAAAAACTACTAAAAACAACACAAAATGTCCATTATGATCAAAATATCAACAGGTGGTGGATGTTTTGATATATTTTTTGGAAGTGTCTAAAGAACCGCAAGTCGTTTTCCTTTGAATATTGGTAGCGCTCACTAGATCAGGATCAGTACTAGCTCCTTCAACTCGAATATAGGGCTTCAGAGAGTCTTGTATAAGTGAAACATCTGTATTTTCCTCATCCTAATTTTTGAAAAAATAAGTGCACAATTATCTTGACACTTATTTACGCTTATTTATGAAATGATGAAATTATTTTTCAATTATAAAGGTCGAGGGGGAGGCAATAGGTTAACAAAATGTTCGGAAATTAATGGCAATACTTGGGGCATAATAGGCATTATTCGAAAATAATCGGCACTAAATGGCAATAGTCGGCATTGATGAAGAAATACAGAAATAGGCGGCATCAGACGGAATTATTAGGCAATAGACGGCAGTAGATATGAAATATGCGGCAATAAATCGGCAAAATGTCGGAAATAGTCGGGAATTAACTGCACAGAATGACGTTACAGCGAAATAAAGTGGAGAGGGGCGTCTATTCCTTATTTCTGTCCAATCATTCATTGCAGTGAGTTGTCCCTAAGTGTTGTTTTCATTTAGATTTCGAATATGTCGTTAATTCGAAATACCTCAACTACCAATATATTAAAAGTGTCACGACCAACACACATATGAAAGTTACTCCGTTCGCCGATAGATGTACCCTGGGGATATACTTAAACTCCGCCGAAAAAATGTCTTGGAAAAAGTGTACCTAAAGCCCTAAAGCAGAACTTGAAATACCTTCACTAGAGTATTCCAAACGGACATTACAGATTTTGAAAATTAATCACCGCCTGCTATGGAAATCAAAAAAAATCTCAATTAAGCTGCCTATTATGAACAATAATATTCAAATAGAAGAAATGTCTCTCAAGAAATCGAAAAAATACTTACTTGTTAGTGTAAATTCGGCATGAAAATGAAGAGACGTGAAGAGACGTACTCGGACATACGGGCGAAAGGGAAATTAGATACTTATTCTCGAACTCATCCAAATTCAGATCTACATCGTCTTCTGAGAACAAGTACGCGATTTTTTTCATCTCTTTGAGCGCACGAAGGAAATTCCTATATAATTTTCGGAGAACATGATGCGTACCTAGGAAGGATAGAGAGAGGAGGTAGGTGTTTTAGTTTTTTTTTTGGAAAATACTTCCAAAGAAGAGAGCTGACACTGTCATGTCCTATGAAGACAAGTATATACATACCTATCAGCGAGCCTATCAGCCTTGATGGCCCCGCCTCAATGTAATAAAGAAAATCGCATGGTGGGCAATGTGGGGAATTTATATATTTGTTTTTCTGAACAAAAAAGATGCTACAAAACCTCTTGGATAATTTGAATGTATTACCTATTACTTATATGTAGAACAATGTGTCCATTTTCTCGAAATCCATCATCACTAGATAAAAACTTTTGAAAACAAATTTCTTCCGTTATTAAAAGTTCCCATTTCGAAAATATTTTCAACAATTCTGGGTGTTTTATAAAAGCGGGACGACTCGGAGACGAGTTTTTTTAAATAGAACACCCAGTATTTTTTATTCGAAATTTATTCCGCTAAGGTTTAGCTCTACATCGCTATTAAAAAAAATCAATTTGGTTGCGGCGTTGCCAAGTCATAATTGATAAACCCATTTTTACTACTATTGAAGGGTCATGTTGAATTGGCTATGGTATATTCATTTATTCAAATTTTTAAAATATAGTTGGCATACAGTAGTTGCAAGGTCTCACGTGCAGCAATCCAGTAATTTTGCGAGATGATCCTTTACCGGGTGCTAAAATTTACATTTTGAATATTGTAAGATTCAGACGACGTTCATTATATATTTTTCAAATGGAACACCCTGTATTTTTCATCAAAGATTTATTTCGACATCACTCACTTCAGCCTTTTCATCGCTGAAAAAAAATCAAAATCGGTCACGACGTTTTCAATTCATGTGTAATTTCCTTATGTTTATCACTATCTCAGGGCCAATTAAACTACTCAACACTAATTTCGTCGCACACCAAAATGTCGCTTCTGTTATAATGTGAATAACTTTTTTCAGTTTAGAACAATTTGAATTTGGTTCACACTGTTCGATAGCCCAGTCCTTCAGCTATAATCTCGTACTTCATTGAAACATAAGGGTATTTACATAAAATCTCTACATGGTGTTTTCCGACACTGTGCGAAATTTCGGAATATTCAAAGGGCTCTCAAATGGTGAAAAAATTTTTTCTCTCAACTTCGACAACAGAGGCATGAAGATGATCTCATTACCTCGAGATATTCCGCGAATCAACTTCCTATCTCTCTTATTTACAGGGTGATCTCAAAAAATCAACTTTTTGGTTTTGCAGCCATAACTTTTTTTTACGTCAACCAATTTCGGAAATCTTAGGCTCATTTTGAAGATAAAACTTCAGATGAAGAGATCTGAATATCAGAATTGACTCAAGATGGCTATCAAAGATCTAGAGTTTTCTTGAAAGTGACCCAAATCTGGAACGCCCTTCGAATCTTGGTTGGGAGGAGAATTGAATGAAAATCAACTTGTTCTCGGAAAAACAATTCATTTTGGATGCGTCCATATTTTCCTCGCTCTCAGTAGTCAAGAATTGTGCGTGAGAAAACACAATTGAAACATGTTCTTGCCAAAACATTAGATCGTTTCTACTCTGTAATGCATGGCCCGCTGTAACCAACGTTACAAGAAGCACAATGAGTGACTGACAAACCCGACCAGCTGGGACTCATCATAAATGGTGTACCAACAAGAGCAACGGATTTTGATTTTTTCAATACAGTGATTTTTCGACAGTTGTCACGTACATAACATGCGATTTAAGAATATGGAGAAGTATTCAAGCAAACAACGTTTATTTATTGTGAAAACGCATTTAAAAAATGGTGAAAGTTTCACGAAAACAGTTTGCCTATTACGTAAAGTTTTCAGTCGCAATAATGCGTCGAACGAATCGACAGTAATAAACAAAAAATTTGTGTCGGAGATAAGCCCTTTGAATGGATCGGACTGTCGTGTTTAGCAGATCCGCAATTTGGAGGGAAGATAACCCTTGTTCCCTCATTTGTGGAATCAGTTCCAACTGGTCGGTCGTTAGATGCGGCATCGAAACTATCAAAATCTGTTTATGATTCGAAAACGACGTCTAACCTGACTTGTCAGTCACTTACTGTGATTCTTGTAACGTTGGTTACGGGCCATACATTACAGAGGAGAAATGGTCTGATGTTTTTGCAAGAACATGTTTCAATTGTGTTTTCTCACGCACATTCTTGAGTACTGAGAGCGAGGAAAATATGGACGCATCCAGAATGAATTGTTTTTCCGAGAACAAGTTGATTTTCATTCAATTCTCCTCCCAACCGAGATTCGGAGGGCGTTCCAGATTTGGGTCACTTTCAAGAAAACTCTAGATCTTTGATAGCCAATTGAGTCAATTCTGATGTCCAGATCTCTTCATCTGAAGTTTTATCTTCAAAAGGAGCCTAAGATTTCTAAAATCGGTGGACGTGGAAAAAAGTTATGGCTGCAAAACCAAAAAGTTGATTTTTTGAGATCACTCTGTAAATAAGAGATATAGGAAGTTGATTAGCGAAATATCTCGAGGTAATGAGATCATCTTCATGCCACTGTTGTCGAAGTTGCGAAACATTTTTTTTTCACCATTTGAGAGCCTTTTGAATATTCCGAAATTTTGCACAGTGTCGGAGAACACCATGTAGAGATTTTTTGTGAATACCCTCATGTTTCAATGAAGTACCAGATTATAGCTGAAGGACTGGGCTATCGAACAGTGTGAATCAAATTCAAATTGTTCTAAGCTGAAAAAAGTTATTCACATTATATCAGGGGCGACATTTTGGTGTGCGACGAAATTAGTGTTGAGTAGTTTATAAGGCATGGTTCCTTTATTTGATTTGGGTGTGGGAATATTGCTTGCCACATGACATTCGAGGCAAAGATGTAGCAAAAGCTGCCAAATTCTAAATGCAAAATTGAGCGCCGTGTTAAAGAACATGTCGCAAAATTACTGACTTGGCATACGTAATACCCATGTAATACCTTACTACTAACGTGTATGATTAAAATATTTTCAAAATTTAAACAAATGAATTTACCATGTCCAATTCAACAAAACTCTTCAATAGTGGTAAAAATAAATTCATCAATTATAACTTGGCAACGCCGCAACCGATTCCAATTTTATTCGGAATTTTGTATATGTTCTTATTCATAAAGAGCTATTTTTCTCGGAAACTGTTCACTTTAGAGCATTGAGACAAGAGGACGTTTTTTGTGTGAAAGATATTGGCGCTTCAGAATCTACTTTGAAAATTACAATTTCTCGAGTGGCATAAATATTTGGGGGGTTAAACCCTTACGAGGCGTTGAATTCTCCTCCACTGACATGTCCAAGGAAATTGATCAAGAGCCCTGAAAGTAGTCATTATTGATAATGAAATGTATACGAAGGCTTAACTCCGTAGCTCAGACGGTTCCTGAGATAGTAGCAAAAAACAATTTTTTTTGTATTTTTTTGACGCCCTGTATCTTGATAAC